AATAAATAAATAAATAAATGTTTTATGACAGATATAACTTTCATATATTACATATAAAGTTTATAAGTAAACTTACAATTTTTAAGTGTACTTTTTTAGAAGACAAAACAACAAAAGGAAATGCATTTGGCACTCTGCTTGAAGTGGTCTGACAAGCCCTTCAGATAAGATCCGCAGTGTGTGGAAGGCCTGGGGATCCTGGGAGGAGGGGTCACAGCCAAGGTCACGGCTCCCTGTACTGGCCCCACTCTCCAGCCAATGATCCCTGCTTTCATTTCCTTCTGAAGGGATGCCTATGACCTCCTGGTTCCCTTCCACTGAGGGAAGCTAACCTCTTCCCTAAGCTTGCTGCAAGGGTGACTCACCCCTTCCTTCCCCAAGACCAGGGGCAAAAACGATCACTTGGTTTCCCGTATTTCAACCAGTTGGAAGAGGGGGTCTCGGGCTTATCTGTTCTTTAGCCCCTCTGAACTGCAAGCCAGGGACGAACGTGCCAAAGAGCAGCTGAAGCTAGAGTGGCAATTCTAGGCCCAGCTGGCAAACAGAGGGCTGACGGAATAAACTTTTGCCCACGTCAGACATTGATTTTAAGGCCAGGGTAAAGGAGAGTCTGACTCTGGCTTCCAAGCATGTCGCTGTCTTTTGCATATGAAAAGTAGAGAACTTAGCTCATCGCTTGCCCCAGTTCCAGGAAGTGCTTGCCTCCTATCACTAAAGGGGGCAGCAGGACCTGGCACTCTTCCCCCTGAGTAACCAGCACAGGGAATTTCAAGAGAGTCTGGGGTACAAGTGGAGGCCATCTGGTTCAGGTGGCAGAAGAAGGGTTTATGCTTGGACACACGAGGCTGACAGCCAGTGCCCAGGGCCAGGCTCCTGGGGTAACAAGCAACAATGCGTGTGGGCAGAGAGGCAGTGATGAGGACAGTGAGGAGTCACGGCCCGAAGCGGGCTACACAGTGAACCCGTGGAAAACCAGTCTCACTAAAATCTCTCCAAGAAAGAGCAATCCAGGGCAGCTCCAGGGAAGCAACTCCTAACCCCCAGTCCTCAGCAAGGTGACTGCCAGAAGGAACAGAGGGCTGGTAAAGACAGACCTTGGGGGAGAAGCAGCGAGACCAGGAGTCCAGGAGACTGTGCGGAACGCCAGGAACAAGCAAGGCCAGCCTTGTCCACTTTTGAGGACCTGCGAGGCATCCCATGTGCCCCACCCAGGATCTTTTGGAATCTGAGTTTCTATCCCGCCCTGTGGTGGGCTCTCTATAAGTGAATGTTAGAGCAGCCAGTCTCAACCTCAGCTGTATCATAAAATCATCTGGGGATCTTAAAAAAAATACTGATGCCAGGGCCTACTCTCAGATATTTTAATTGCGCTAAGTATCAGTTGTTTTTAAATCTGCCTCCCCAGCCTTTTTTTTTTTTTTTTTCGGACACAGGGCCTCACTGTCGCCTAAGCTGGAGTGAAGTGGCACAATCATGCTCACTGCAGCCTCAACCTCCCTGGGCTCAAGTGATCCTCCCGCCTCAGTTTCCCGAGTAGCTGGGACTACAGGTATGTGCCACCGTGTGTAGTTAATTTCTTTTATTTATTTATTTTTGAGATGGAGTCTTGCTTTGTCACCCAGGCTGGAATGTAGTGATGCAATCTTGGCTCACGCAACCTCCGCCTCCTGGATTCAAGTGATTCTCCTGCCTCAGCCTCCCAAGTAGCTGGGATTACAGGCATGTGCCACCACGTCTGGCTAATTTTTGTATTTTTAGTAGAGATGGGGTTGGCCAGGCTGGTCTCAAACTCCTGATCTCCAGTGATCTGCCTGCCTCAGCCTCCCAAAGTGTTGGGATTACAGGCGTGGGCCACTGCGCCTGGCCAATTTCTTTTATTTTTTATAGAGATGGGGTCTTGCCATGTTGCTCAGGCTGGTCTCAAACTCTCCTCCCCAGCATTTAAATGTATATTCTAATGCACAACCCAAGATTAAAAATGTTAAGAAATTTAATTGGAGGGGTAGAATCCCACCCCTACTGAATGTTAATTTAAGACAGCTATAGTTGGCAAGAAATAGTTTAAAGTTCAGAGGGTATATTAGCAATGTATGGACATAGATTCTGCAGGTTCTCTGCCTTCTGCAGAAACCAAAGAGAAGAGCCTGGCCAGGAAATCTGTGCCTGAGTCTGCAGGACCTCCCAGTTCTCAGCTCCCACTCCTGGTTTCTCTGCAACTTCCTTATGTTGTAGCAAACAAGATTTCCACCCTCCTGGGCCTCTCTGGTCTCCTGAAGAGGATCTCTGGTCTCCTGAGTCCCACCCATTTCCTACCCCTTTAGAGGCAGGATCTATATCAAGTCTGGAGGCAGAATGACCAGGACCGCCCTGGGAAGTGGACTTGCCCATATGAATGGAATCCTACAATGCTGTGTGCACTCTCCCTGCCTGTTTCCCCGGGGGTCAGGATTCCTGGATGCTGGCCCTTCCAACATGCTATGCCCTACCTGTCCCCTTCTGCAGACCAGAGTCTCAGCCCACCCCTCTCTGGGCTATACTATGAAGAGCCTCCTTCCCTTCATGGTTGAGCACCCCAGACGCCTTGCTCTCTACATTCATGGAGATGGGCGTCAGCTCTTCCTGCACTTGACGTACCACTGTGTCCTCTGTATAGGATTCCCCTGGCCCCATACCCTGAGATGACACCCAGTCCTCACAGAAGTGCAGTTCACTCCCCTAGACATAACAGGATGGCAGAGGAAGGCAGTAATGGGGAGTTTTATCTTCCCATCTTTTGTAACACCAGCAACGAGGATTTTTTTTTCTACGTCACTCTTCAGTCTTTACATAAAGTTCCACATGATAAATTCCCAGCTGAGTTCAATTCCAGGAAAAGTTTTGTTCTGAGAATTAATTTGTATGGTTTCTGTTGTCCAAAATCCCAAACTATGCAACCCAGTGTATTTTTGTTTGTCCCTAAGCTGCCAGAAAACTTACAGCCAAATGCGTTATCCAAGTGTTGTAATCTGCTAAATGCAGGCCACTCCGAAGGTCCACATTCCTTTTGCTTTGCTTTGTTTTCTCCTGAGCATTTCTGTACATACTTGCTTTTAGTCTAAGTTATCACACTCTGCCCAAACCAGTCATCAGGTCCTGCCTCTTGATCCTGGCATCCTTTCAGCTTCTCCTGCTCCTCAGTAATTCTGGCCTGGGTGTTGCAGAAAGTCTTGGTCTCTTCCTCCTCCTTCAGGCCTCCCCAACCAACAACCAGCAGGAGCGCATCACTCTTGCTTCAGTGCATGCTCCTGCCTCCTTGTGGCAGATCCTTCCTTCCCTGTGCCTCTGCCCTGACAGCCCCCGCCTCACCTCTCCCCAGCACGCACTCACATCCTGCAACCTGCAGCCACACTGAATTCCCCTCACTGGCCTCTCCTAGACCCTCTTGGTGACTTTGCACATTCTGTTCTTTCAGCCTGAAACAACCTTCCCTGCTGTTTCCTTGGTGAGGTGGTTTTCAGGGCTTAGCCCAAGCATCACCTAATCTGTGGGGCTTCCCTGCAGCGGCTCCTCTCTGGGCTGCCCTAGCTCTATGCCATGCAACCCTCACAGCCAGGCTGGGCCAGGACTGGTTTTACTTTTTTGTTTGACTACCCAGCTAGGATGGTGTTCCTCGAAGGAAGGGGGACGTCTCATTCCTCGCTGTGCCACTGATGTCTAGCACGCATGCCTTGCACACTGAGCTGTTTAAGGGGATGAATAGAATACTTGACACACGATTTTATTAATCTTCCAGAATGAAAGGACTGGAGGCCAGGCACAATGGCTCATGCCTGTAATCCCAGCATTTTGCGAGGCCAAGGCGGGCAGATCACCCGGGGTCAGGAGTTTGAGACCAGCCTGGCCAACATGGTGAAACCCCGTCTCTACTAAAAATACAAAAATTAGCTGGACGTGGTGGTGGGCGCCTGTAATCCCAGCTACTCAAGAAGCTGAGACAGGAGAATTGCTTGAACCCAGGGGGCGGAGGTTGCAGTGGGCTGAGACCGGGCCACTGCATTCCAGCCTGGGTGACAGAGCAAGACTCTGACTCAAAAAAATAAAAATAAAAAACAAACAAAAGGACTGGAGGCCAGCCTCCCGCCAGCCTTTTCATTACCAGGCCTCAGAAACCGTCTCTGACACACACACACACTCACACACACTTACTCTTGGAGTTCTGCTCCCTCCCACACTGCCCACCCAAAGACTTTCTACTCCACTCTTTTGGTATCTGATATTTGATGATGTAAGGAGAAGGGATTTCTTTCTCTTCTTTTATGTGGTAACCACAGAGGGTGTAAGAGTTTACTAACAAGATTACTGGAGCACGCCTATTACAACTCTGTTACCCCCAGCCCATTACTGTCCGATGTCATTTGGAACCTTGGGGAAGTCACATTCCTGAATCTGAACAGCAGCTGGAAGTCAGCACCAGCTGGTTAAGGCAGGGTCACTGCACTTCCCTTGCCCAATTTACGCCCCTGGAGAGCCCTGACCAGCTTCCTGCTTCCTGTCCCAGGCCCCCCATAACAAGATTCCACGGCTGAGGTCTGACTTTGCTCCGTGGTCTCACCCAGCTCTCTGTGACCCTCCTAATACGACTGTGTCCAGACTTCCCCTGGGCTCTATCTGCTCCCAACTCCACCCTTGGGGACAAAGTGGAAGAAGTAAGACCATTCAATCATCTTTACCTTCTTGCTTTCCCAAGACTGCAAATGCTGACCGCTGTGAGGGGAGCCCAGCTGCTCAGCCGCCTCGATGCCCTGCGCTTGCACAGGCACGCACACACACACACACTCGCACACACAGACACACAAGCGCGCGCACACACTCGCACACACACACAGACCCGCGCGCACAAACACAGACAAGCGCGCGCACACACACTCACACAGACACAAACACGCGCGGACACACGCGCACACACTCACACTCGCACTCACGCCCCGAGGGACCCAGCACAACGCAGGGCGGGGGTCTGCAGGCTTTCTGCAGGTCCCCGAGGCGCGCGGGACGGCGGCGTCCGGGCTCAGCCCTGGGAGTCAGCCAGAGCCCGGGAGGGACGCCTGGATCGCGCTCTGCACAAGTCCCGGGACCAGGCGGGAACTCAGACTCCCGTCTGCAGAGCCACTTCCCCCGTCAGGGCTCGGGTCGCGCGAGCCGTTTCCTCCCTCCCCCGCGCGTCCCCTCCTCCGTCCCCTTTCCCTCCCCAGCTCGACCCTGCA